AATTTTTCCCTGTAGATCTGAAGTCTCATATTCTGCAGATACAAAGAAGAAAGACTCTTGCAAAATTGTAGAATTCCATTTCTCTGTATTTTTGCTAACAAATAGAGTTGGGCTCTGGTGTTGTTATGTTGCGGTCATTTCACTGTGTGCTGTTATGGTAAATGGCATCAATTGTTTTTCTGAGAAATACTTACTGTATCTGAATTGCCAGGCTGTTTGCCCTAGCATAAACTGATTCAAATAGTTGTCTTGACTTTGAAGTCATCTGATGTCAAAGAAAATAGATATGTATGTGTAGTGTGTCATGTATCATTGTGTGTTGTGGGATTAGTGTCCTTGTGTATTCCTGATTGTCTTCTACACCGTCTAACTCAGATATTCTGTTGAAGGATTAGAAATTTGCTCTGGCAAGCATATGTATGTGTGTATGTTTGTGGGTACACCTGTTGTACTGTCTTTTTTGTGTTGCTTTGTGACACAGCCTCCTGGCTCTTGCCTCTTTTTTGTGCACTTTGTTTTTATTTTTCCCGTCAAAAGTAGTTTATTCTTTTGCTTCATGAGAAGTTTGAAAACATCTTTATCCATATCCAATGGCTATGTGTCTGCAGAAAGCGTTTTGCTTGAAACAAGCAGTTAAGTTCCTCTGTGTTCTTAGGGAGAAAAATACATAAAAAAAATGTAGATCTTCATTTTTGTAGTACATAGAGAAGAGAAATATTCATGCTGCTTTGAGTGGAGTGGCAGCCCTTCCTTCCACATTGTTTTGTAAAGGGTTTGAGACTGGTCTTGAGAACTAGTTGTCACTTCTCCTGTCTGTATTTCTGGGTTTTGTTCAGTGATGATTTCAACAGGGTTATCTTTAGAGGTGATTCATACTACTATATTGAAGTGTTATGGGTTTGATGCTAATGCAAAAGGGACAGAAATATTACCCAAGGTGGGGAGAGGTGGGTGAGGTTGAGTCTCCACAGAGTCATGGGTGAGTTTTTTTGATTGGTCAGGCATATTGTCTCAAAATGCCAGAATTTAAGAAAAGTTTTGAAATTTTTATGGCTTGCAGCTTCACATCTCTGCTGTCAGTGGTTTCCAGATAGCAGCTGTAGTGGGTTAGAGGGTGAGGCAGAGCATGGAAATGGACTGTGCTGCAGGGACAGCAACTGAACAGAAGGACTGAGACACCTGGGATCTTGGCCCAAGGTAACTGCTGTTACGCAGAAAGCTGAGTTGATTATCAGTGTGCTCTGGATTCCATCCTTGGCAGGATTTGATTCTTATTATAAGAAGAATTAAATATATTACTATAAAGCTGTGATTTGGAAAGCATGTGAGGCAGGGTTGTCAAAAGCCATTTACAAAGCCTTGAAGGTAATGATTAGGGATTAAATAGGAGAATTGATTCATGACACATTAAGATGAAGTTTGTCGTTTTTAAGAGATGGCGTAGGACTCATTGTCAGTTTTGGAAGGTTCATCACAGCCACATGCTTAACTGCAGAATTATAAAATACTAACCTGCTTAATAAGAGAAGGATGTCAGTTGTATATGTTTCAAGCACTAATGGAGAATGATGTATAATATAAAAATGTGTAACGTGCTGTGAAACTTCTCTCTCCTAGAACACAGTTGTAACAGTCCTATTTTTTCATAGACCTCCTCAAATAGATTTCCTTGTATGCATCTTGTAAATACAGTAGGAGGAGAGAGGTTGATTTATACAAACTGGATTACTATACTGTATTTAAAAGAGTTAGATAATGCATTGTTTTTGAAAGGAGAAAAATTTTATATTGGATGAGGTTTTCATATGAAATGGGACATACACTCCTTTATGCTTTTAGTGAAAATGTGCTTTATAAACAATTGCAAAATTCCTAGCAAGAAAGCATGACAGGATAGTTATTAGATTGCTGTAATGTGTCACAAAATTTGTAAGTTCAGAATTTAAGTTTTTCTCAAGGAAACAACCTTAACTGTGGCTTTTTCAGCAAATTTGGCTTCCACAGAAAAATTTAGAATGTTCTCAAATATAAATATTTAGCAAGGTAGGTTGTTTTGGGGCTGGGTTTTGGATTCAGTCCCTACCTTCCAGCCTTGTAACACTAAGTCACTTAATTCTCGGATACTGGATTCATCAGGCTTTATTATTTAATGCTTTTTGTCTAGCATGGAAGACTAATAGTATATTGGCATGTTGTGGCTGCCAAATCTGTGAAACAACACTGCTGTGCGACGGCACTGGAAAGAAATAGAGTGGAGAGAATAACATTTCACTTCAGATGTCTGATTTGCATTCTCAATAAATAAGATTAATATAATTTTTTTAAGTTATCAGAATCGGAATGTTGTAGACTTTTATATGAACTGTGGCCCCAAGACATTAGATTGGCAAAATATTGTTAGTAAAAAAAAATCATACATTTGAAGTGTAAATATTTTTTCCCTTTATTTTATATCATTATCTCTACCTGCCTTTGTAACTACTCCAGTGCTCATCAGGTATCAGTTTAGGAGTTTGCATCCTAAAATATGTTTATATATTTCTCTGGAAAAGACACTTTCTTCCAGAGGAATATTATAAAAGTTGGGGAGAACTGTCTCTGACAGCTTGCAGGTCAGTATGTCAGTCAGAAGAACAAAGAAGAACCCAGAGTCTTGGTCGTAAATGACCAATTTAGGGTAGGTTTGGAACAGAAATCGGGATGATGAATTGAATGGCTGCAAGATGTGGATATTTCTTTGTGCTGACTGGGCCAATAGCTGCAGCAGGAAAGGGGGTATGGTAGCAGGCAGGAATGGGAAGCACTTGTCACAGCTGTTTGGTCAATGTGAACCAGAGTCCACAAACTCAGTGGAAGAGGAAACCCAGTGTTAACAGATTGCCAGAATGTTGAAGCATTTTCCATGTGGAGCAATGTATGTTGTCCATCTCTTGCAGACCTTCTCAGCCAAGCTCCTTGAAAATTACCGTTTAGAAATTGTTTCTTGGGTCTGTGCGTGTAGAAGGAATCCACAGTATTTGGTGCTCTGGGCTATAACCACAAACCTTTAAAAACATAATTACAAATTAAGTTTAAAAAAATATTTTAAACATAATAAATATAAAAACATCTTCAGCATTAAATGCAAAATGTAAACATAAAATACAGACAAATTACAGTTCTCGTATCAAGTGTCATGATTGTGAATTAGTTTGGTTCTCATTTTTTAGGTTCAGTTGTTAAGTTTAGGTTCAGTAAGTTTTGCAGGTTTTCTCACATTAAGGCTGGGGGCGGGGGGGTGAGGAACTTTACAAAAATTTAAGCAAGTTAAGGTTGGTTGTGCATAAAGAAAATACACATTAACAAAAGTAAGTCATAAACACCAGAAGCAGCAGAGCAGCTGTTTAATGCTGGTGCTGTTCTGATGGAGCTGTGGCCTACTGAAGGAGATTTCCTGAGCAAAGACTGGACAACAGTAGAAGAATGTAAAAGCAATTAAACATAAGTGCATAACATGATAAAGACTGTATTAATTGTTCTTGTATGTACCAGTTCCAGTTTTATCGTCCTGAATATTCTCTTTAGTGTTAAGGGTTCATAGGGGTCAGGGAAGGGACTAGAGCTGAACAAGTGAGTCATGAAAAGAGAGGTTTGAGGAGATTGATGTTTAAATCGGAATTATAATCAATATGAATATGAGGAAGTGTGACAAAGGACTGTGAATTGCATAAAGATAAGAGATGCTTAGTTGACATTACGGAAGCAAGAATAATATTCAGTAGCAATAAATTAAAACATAATCTCAAATGCATCAGTAGTTTTAGAAGCTAAAAGGTTATTGAACAGCTAAGAGATTCCATATTGATGTTAATAACACTCTCTAAAAAAATCAGTATCCTGTGTCCGCTCAAGGTCATGTGCAGATGCTTAGGGAAAGAACAGAAGGTTGGATCACATAGGTGGTGCCTTTTCAAGCTTAAAGCAGTCTGACATGCACAGTTTAAGGACTTCATGAGCCAGACACTGTATTCATGTGTTTGTGTTTAATAGTGTTGTTTGGGGTTTTTTTCTATCTGTGTATTTTTGTCATTGCACTTACACTTTTGGCTTCCATGTTGTGGCAATAAGTCTCACAGTTGTAATTATGGTTTATGTGATGTAGTCTAGCCTATTTATTTTTTATAAACCTGCTGCCTGAGTTCATAATTTCATAGATTTCAATATCAGGAATACTCAGCTACGTTAATAAAATCTTCTTGTTAAAAAGAGAGTCAGTCATGACAGAAGGCCACCTCACTAAGCAAGGCTTTCTGTAATTATTCACTGGGGGTGGGTGGGTGGGGTGTGTCTTGTTACCTGTAGGAGATTGAGTATTTATGGTTTGACTGTCTTCTGGTGTAACAGCTTCTGTGGACAGGTAGTAGGTTTCATCTTGGCCACGGTTGCTGTGTCCTTATGGTGAACAAAATTGATTCCTGGATATTTCAAAATAAGCTGCTAATTACTCAGAACGAAATGCTTCACCCGTTGAAGGCACAACATGGCACACACTTTTCTGTAAATGCTAATGGGTGGCTTTCAAGGTGCGTATCCTGGGTCCCAAGAGCTACCTATCTAGAGCTCAGTGGTAGAACTTTTTTTGACTGATAAAACCAGCCTTCTGCCCCCAGACTCACTCATGCGTAGTAACGGGCAAATGGCATGTTATCTCACTTTGTAGGTTAAAGTTCAGTGTGTACTTATGGGCCCTCACTCTTAGTTGAGAAGTTTATATAATGTAATGACCACAGAACAGGCTGGTTTCTGAGGCCCAGAATATTAACAGATCTCTCACTACTTCATAGGTAATGAGAGCAAAATCAGAGACTTACAGTCAAAATCACAGAAAGTGTTTTTTAATTAAAAATAGCTAATGGTTCCTGCTTGTTGGGCTTTGCTTTCCAACTGGGATTATGTAAAGCAAGATTTTGCAGTGAGTATTGAATATCCTAATCTTTATTCCTTTGTTTGTCTTTTTCTAGGAGAAGCTCTGCCTACCACATCACATCCTAGAAGAAAAGGGCTTGGTAAAAGTGAGCATAACAGTACAAGCATTGCTAGATGTAACCACAGTGAAACAAGCTTTATTCACATGAAACTACTATCTCTGCTGTTACCAGCTCCACTGTGCCATCAAAGAAAAAAAGTACTGCCCATCTTCTTTTCAAACTGCATTGGAAAAAGAAAAAAGTGCTCCAAGAGTATTATTACACTTCTGATTTTAAAATCATCTTTCAGACTGTACATATACATCGAACTACAAACCAGAAACTAAACATTTTCTAGAGCAGATTGGCACTTCACTGCTTTTATAGCTCACTTTGTACAGTACTTACTAAAACAGCCACCTCTCTGCCACTTAAAAATGTGTGGAGTACACAGCTGTCTTGCAGCAAGATACCTTCGTATTATTAAACTAAGAATCAGTGTAATCATTTGGGGGGGGGAGCAGGGAGAGTAAATCAGACTTCTACCATGTTAGGTTTTTCTGCAGTCGCTTCAGGCTATTGCCTTTTAAAAATATCCAGACATAAAATATTTATATAAATATTATTTATTAGTGAGTTGTTATTCATCCTTTGGATGCAAACTGTAAATTAGGAAACTGTATTTTATTACTGCTTTTTTGTGGTTAAACACTTTATTTTAATATAAATATTTAGTTATTTTTTATTCTACTTGGTGTGCAGTAGCTCTAGATCTCCGTAAATTGTATTTTCTAATATGTAAGATAAAAAGCAAACAACATAGGTGCTTTTATTAAAAGGACAGCTAGCTGGAATGGCATTCTTTATTTCTTGAATTTGTGGAACATTGGTAAAAATTTGTCTGCATTCCATTGAGTTTCCTACATTCCAGTAGCACTTTTCCCCCCACTAGACTAAATTGGCTGAAACTGAGAGCACACCCATTTTATTTGTATATAGATGTTAAAAAAAAAAAAGGAAAGATGTAAACTTGAAAAATAAATGTGAACACATATTTTTGATTGCTTATTTTACTATGCACAAGACATTTAACTTTTGCCACAACAAAATGAGTGATGTGCATTAGGATCATGTGTCTTGAAATATAATTTTGCACTGTAACTTGATTTCTTTTAAAGACTACAGCACTACAGAACAAATGTTAAAAAATAGCACAAGAACGTTAAGAAGAAAATTTACCAGATAGCCAAAAAATTCAATGATTCCTTCGAGAGGAGACAAAATTATGAAAATTGCCAAAGGCAGTCTCAAAGACCTGATCTTCCAGATCCAACCTGCTGGGTACAGTGCTTCTCCTTCTAGTCTCCATCATTTTCCCACAGAATTGAGCACAATGTTCTGTGGTGAACATTTGCAGGATCAGACCTCTAATCCCACATCAGCAATAGGAAATAAAGTTCTTTTTCTTATCACTACTTTAAATTTTTTTAAGAGATTTTGTTTATAAGTGTAATTTATTATTAAACCATCACATGTTTTAGATCAAAAAGCTCCAGCACAGCGATTCTCACAATATCTGGAACGTCCATTTTTCTTTCAGAGGAGAAGCTAGTGATGTAACTTCAGCAAGCAGGAGAGGAAAGCTGCAGGTGGTGAAGAGGCTAGCTGCTAGGGGTCCGTGGTCACACAAGCAGGTAGTTGGAAATGCGGAATGACAAAAAAGAGGCAATGTGGCGGGAGGACTAAATATTTAAGTACGAGAATGTGGAGAGAACTATTGCATAAAAACTTTCTGGAAGAATGATGCTTACTTGCAACTATGATGTATCTGGGCAAAGCTACATGCATGTTCACACAGACACTGCATTTAAAACCACCAGTAATCCAATAGCAGATTTTTAATGATTAATACAGTATTTGAATTCAGGCTACACTTTTTAATACCACAAATTGCCAATGTGCTGGCATGACAGCACTGTGTTAGGAGGATGACAGTGGACTCGCAGACAATGGGACGTACAGTAAGCATGGAATATCTAGTTACTTCAACCAAAGCAAAAGCATTTATTTTACAGAGGGAACATTGACTTAAATTGTAATTTTGATTGGCAGCTAGCATATTGTTTCCTATAACATGTACTGTGCACTTTAACACTAAATTAAAATGTATTTTAATATTTTACAGAGCTGCACAAATATCTGTTTTGTCAAAAAGCACGAACAATGTAAAGAAAATAAGTTTTCAAGTCAGAGTTTATCAAATTTTAAAAGCATTCAAAGATCGAGTATAAAAATAGGAATATTGATTTCTGCATCTTGAGGGATAAAATGCAGGTTTCCTGAGTATTTTTTTACAATGTATATATGGCAACATGAAGCTTTGTAATTATTATTTTGACAAATCTTGTTTTTTCATAATTAAAATCTTGGTTTTCTCCTGATAGTGTCTTTCAATATTTGCTTGAAGTTGGCTGTAAATAAATAGCTCTAAATATTTTGTAATACAGCTTTTTTATGCAGTCTTAACCTGTACGTCTAAAATGAGAATCTTCACCAATCTTTGTACACTATTTATATGTGCAATAAAACATGCATGGCAAATCTATAATAACCTCAGCAGTGAACAGAATGTATATAGAAAATCTTCACTGTAGTTACAATTAAACTATACTATTTGTAGAAACCCTTTAATGACTACCCCTGTGACTGACAGTTTCTTGTCAAAGAGATGGTGTTTGGAGAGCCCAACGCTGGGAATGATGCATCGGGGTTTGGGGAGGAGGAAGATGATGTGCCACAAATAAAGGAATTTTGCAGCTAAACTAGGAAAAGGATGCAGCTGGTAACTGGTTCGGTGTCAGCTCCTGCAAATGATCTTCCAGCAGCTTTGCTGCCTCCGTTGCTTTAGATCTGCTGCTGGTCATGTATTGAACAGCAGCAGCGGTGGAATTAACTGTGCTCTGCTCCCAGGGCCAGGTGACCCGGCGGGCTCAGCTCGGGGAGAAGGGAGGCTCTGCTTCAGTTTGCTCCTGCTCACAGCCCCCCTGGGAGAATCGGTTGGTTTCCTGCTTCCCATTTCACTGCACAGCGCAACATTTTCCCTCCAGATTCCCAGAGATTATTCTGCAGACTTTTGCTTTAGCCAACAAAACCAGATGCTTGCTTTATTCTAGTGAATCCAAGCAATAATGCAGAAACACTTTGTGACCTGAGGATAACCAGGTGTGACTGGGCTGTGCCAAGCTGCTTTGCCCTTCTTCTGTCCCTGCAGATACAGGTAGTAGGGACCACTGCTTGCAGGTCATAGTATACAGCCTTCTCTTTCCCATGGGAGTTTCTAAAGTCATTTAAGTACAGATTCTGCTCCTTTCTCTAATGAAGCGTCTTTACCTTAACCAGCTGATTTTATGGCTGTATTTGTTCACTTCTTGTAGGGGATTTTGGAAGGAGAGGACCTTGCTGCAATAATCTCCTGAGGAGATCCTGCTTTGGATTGCTGAGGGAGCATGAGCACCCTTGCAGCTGTAGCGATCCGAAGCCAGGATGGACTCACTGCTGCGTTAGAATCGGTGTCATTTAGTCAGGAGTCCTGCAGCAGTTCTGCGGTGCTGCTCCTCCACGAGAGTAGAGCCCATTTAACAGCGGGCAGCGCTGAGGGCCACCTCCAGCTGAGGTGTGAGTGTTGCCAACAGTAGAGATCTGACAGCCTCACGCAATTCTTACCAAGGTGGTGCAGAGATGTTCGGGGGCTGTAGCCATCTGCACAACCGATTCCAGCGCCCCAAGTCTGCTCAGCGGTCTGTGCTGCCCTGCATTTGCAGCCTGTGGACAAGGGCAGTTCAAGGGCCTTCTTAACCCTCTAGCACCAGTTTTGGAAGAACTCAGGGCAGTTTTTATAAAGCCTTGAGGTCCAAAGCAAGTTTGTGGGCTCACAAGGGCCCGTCGGACACTTAACCTGAGCCTGCTCCTGTTCACAAATGAGCAACTAGGAAGTCCTTCCCAAGGAGGAAGGCAGCAGTGCATGTAAGTGATCAGTTTTATCAAGAAAGCAAACAGTGTGGGAGGGCAGTCAGTTCTCAGGAGTACCAAGTGGACAATATTTTCACCTCCAAAATTGTACCTGGGCAGTTGTTTGGGGAACCTGATAATGGTAATTGATGTTCTGCTGGACTATAAATTAAAGATACAGGAAATAAAGCTCCCCACAACCATTCACAGTATAACAGGAAACTTAGAACTATGTCATAAAAATTTATTAAGTATAAAAGATGGTGTTTCCCCCCTACACACAGGGAAGGCTGTTTCTTACCTGTCTTCTGGTGGTTTAAAAGCCCTTGCAGTAAATTACAAGGTTAAACCTGCTTTTTAATCTCCTCTAATCTAATGTGTAGGTGCATACACTCCTGATAGAGAATGAAAAAAATGGGATGCCCCTTTCACTTAAACACAATCTTAAGAATGCATCGGGAAAAAAAATCCTAACTTTGACATCAAATTAAAGTGTTTATCATTAGATTTAACTGCACCAAGCTGAACATTCCGATTCCGCTGCTACTCTGTCTGTAGTAGGGGGCACAAGACTGCAGTGCAAGCACAGTGCACTTCTGCTCTAACCCAGTAATTCATTTTCCCCCTGCTTACTGGGGGGGTTGGGGGGTGGGGAGAAGAACCAGAAGAAGCTGCCAGACATTAAACAAGCCTTTGAGCCAATTTTGCTGTTGTGGGAGTGGAAATAAACATTTAGCAATTGTGGCTTAAAATTTTTATGTCAGTGCCCTGCTTTATAAGAAAGGAGTAGTCAGTGTCTATTGTAAATCCACGCAGTGTGGAAAACTTGCATTCAGTATTTCGGAGAACTCTTGCACCATGCACAGTCATATCTTCCCAGCCTTCTAAGTTTACTTCACAAACAGGCAGATGCAAGATTGATAGAAATCAGTACGTAATTTAAGCCAGTCACCAATAACAGAAATGTAAGTTCCCAGCATCAGTCTCCCTGCAGTCTGGAATCTAGCAGGGGCCAGAGAAAGAGGAGAATGTTCAGCATTGCTTTGGAAAGCAAACCAATCCTACATCTACCCTAATATTTCCTCTGGCAAGAGTGAGTCAAGGTTTGAGCAATGATGCAGGTTCAGTTGAACCATGGGAAAGCAGATTTTTACAAGTGATCACTTGAATTTAAGATAAACAACTCCCTAGAACAATCCATGTTCTTGCCCCACACAAAGTAGCTGGCAGAATTATACCACTGGGAACTATTTTAGATCTACAATTGTCGGGCCTAAATACTGCTGTCTTCTGAAAAATAAGCATGCTCGTTTTCAGCAATGAGGTATCAGATCATCTATAGAAAGGGATTGCTTCTTTCAAATCTATTTATCAGTTTCCTCTCAGTCCTCTTAAGTCTAAGAAACCCAGAAACACTGCACAAGCCTTTCACACTCAGCAACAATCAAAGGCAAGTGGAGGAAAAAAACCCCACCCCTTTACTACAGAGTGCTTTCCTCACATGGTTTTTAAGAGGTCTTTAAGTATCACCCACAAAATACTCTCCAGATTGTTTGTTGTTAATAACGCACCAGACAGAAAACTACTCTGCACAGCAAGCTTCTGTCTGTATTCTCCACCAGACTTTGTCCTTGGAATGTTTTTAGCTAGGCCAAGGGAAAAACCCACTGACCACCACAGATTAATTATCTTGGTTGTGCCACTAATGACTTCCTTCAATGTTAGGTGATGAAATGAACCCTGGCATTTAATTAGCCGAACAAGCATGCTGTTGTTACTCATAGTCTCTGCATAGTTGCGATACAAACCATCTTGAGGTCCCAAGTACATACCCATGTTCACAATCTGAAATGAACTCATCTGCTAATTTTCATGTTGACCTAGAGTACAGCATGCACCTTCCTGGTGCTGAAAGTGTTTTCAAAGCATGCAAGCACATTCACAATACTTACTCGAAAGCACACACATCAAATTAAGTGGGACTTTTATTTTTCTTAGCAGTACAGTCAGAAGATCTCCCATTTTACAGACATTACTTCAGAACATTATTTTTGTTTAGTTCACCTATATCTCTTGATTCATATTGGACAGACGACGCTCACATCCAAATGGTTCAAGCATTGAGGTATTTTGCATGGTGTTTGATGTGGTCATTAATAAATGTAGCAATGAAAAAATAGCTGTGATCATAACCCTAGAAAAGAATGGCAACAAATCAGCAAACACATATAGTTCATGATAAAGCAATCATGCTAAGGTCTCCTCTAGGAAAGGTAATGAATCTCCTGGTTTGATCTGTTTTAAGAAATCAAAAATACCTGTATTATATATAAAAACTGTGAAGGATACCTAACTAACAGATTAAGTATATATGAACCCTAGGAAGCTAACCAAACAGAAAGTACCTTAACCTGCCCTAATCTGGACATGTAAATTAGAGATGGGTAACGGTGAGTGTCAGCTGCAGAGCGCAGCGTGATGTGAGGGGAACGGTTCCCCTCACTGGCACTGCCCTACTGGTAGAACACAGGGTAGTATAAGGAGAACACAGCCCAGGTCTGAATTACTGCTCCAGCACTATGCTAAAATGACATGTAAACCTCCGAACTACACCACTTTGTCAGCACTAATTGTATCTTTTTTGTGCAGGGTTTATGATAAATCAGAGGACAGTCCCTCATTCTCCACAGCCGAGCCCCTCACTGAGTCTGGCTGGAAGTTGTCAGTTGCTTACAAAGACTCCAGTGCTCTCAGGACAGCACTGCTCTGGGCCACTGCACCATGGGAAAGGGCAACCCTTCCACCTGGGCCTTTAAATGAATCTAAGATTTGAGGCAGTTACAAACCTTTCCTGATTTACACAAACACATGCAAACTAAATCACGAAGTTGTATGCTAAACACAATACCCACAGTACAGATAAGGAATCCAGCAAAAGTACACCTGTTGCTTTGCTTGGACAATGACTGTGATACTTATTAAAAATCATTAATGCTGCTGCTTCGGCCGACCACTGGTGGCTTGAGTTACCATCACAGATCAGTTTGTTGAAACGAAAATCATAACCCCACCTAGTGGTGAAAAGCAGCTGAATCTGATGGATATTGCACTCCTTGATGGCTGCTATGAAGGAAAATGTCCTTCTCACCCTCTTCCTCACTTGGCCAGGGACAGACTCACAGGTAAGTAAGGGAGAGCACGTCCCATGAAGAAGAGAAACCCTCTTAACTACCTGCCACACAGACCCAAAAATCACAAAGCAACAACCCAACAACCATGGATTGCAGAAGCAACTTGCCTGCTGCAGTCTAAAGACGACTGGGATTTTCTGCTCTGTGCAGGCAGCAATGAAGTTATCAGGCAGTAACTGGCCTGCTGAGAGAAACTGGTCATCTTTGCCTTGATCAATCAAGATATCCAGGTGAGAGTCTGGATAGGACTTCACAAGTTGTGTAGCATCATATGCCTGCAGGAATAAAAGAGAAATGACCTTCAGTTATATGTGTTAACCTGGGTCAGATTTGCTCAGTGCAAGAATGTTATGGATGGAGTGCTGGGTCATACTGATCAGGTCACCAAACTGCACTTTGGAAAAGCAAAAAATCGGGGAATTCCAGACAACTGAAAAGTAATACCCATGTTTTGAAAAGGGCAAATGGGATGATCTAA